CCTTTGCTTATTGAGCTAAGGGATGGAATTTTTTAATGTTTCTTTCCTTCTGGCCTTGCACCTGGGTCAGGGCAATTCCAAGCACAAATACAGCCTGTGCAGAGAATTGACTGAGAGTAGTCCTGAGGAGACAGACTTGATGGCGTAGGTGTATGAACATCTGAACCTGACCTGGCAATGTGCACTTGCAGCCCAGAAAGCCAGTTGTATCCTTGGCTGCATCAAAAGCAGCGTGGACAGGAGACAAGGGGAGGGGATTCTGCTCTGCTACTCGGCTCTCATGGCACCCCACCCAGAGTGCTGCATCCAGTTCTGGAGCTCTCAGCACAGGAAAGACATGAACCTATTGGAATGGGTCCAAAGGTACACCATGAGGATGATCAGAGGGCTGGAGCACCTTTCCTATGAAGGCAGGCTGAAAGAGTTGGGGCTGTTCTACCTGGAGAAGAGAAGGCTCTGGGGAGACCTTACAGCACCTTCCGGTACCTAAAGGGTGCCTACAAGAAAGCTGGAGAGGGACTTTTTACAAGAACATGTAGTGATAGGACAAGGGGGAATAGCTTTAAAGTGAAAGAGAATACATTTAGATTAGATATAAGGAAGAAATTCTTCACTATAAGGGTAGTAAGGCATGAGAGCAGATTTTCCAAAGAAGTTATGGATGCCCCATCCCTGGGAATGTTCAAGGCCAGGTTGGATGGGGCTTTGAGCAACCTGGTCTAGTGGAAGGTGTCCCTGCCCATGGCAGCAGGTTGGAACTAGATGGTTTTTGAAGTGCCTTCCAATCCAAGCCATTCTGTGATTCTACAATGTGTTTAAATATTTTACATATATATATGGCACAATGGTCACAATATTGTATATTGTGGATTATGGTTTTTTAGGAGGACTGGAATAATTTAAATTCTACATCAGTGATTATCTACAGTTTTATCACCCTTCCTTACAGAGCTGGACTACCCCAATTTTCTTCACAAAGATGGATGTCGTTCCTGTGATCTCAACCAGTTTTTCAGGGACCATGACTCTTTTTAAGCAAGTTCTTCTGCTCATGAAATTGCAGGGAAATAATAGTTTTAGGCAAATGTTTGATGTTGCCCTGAGTCTCCTCTCAGCAGTCTTTCACTGACATTCTGGCCTGTTCTTACTAAAATAGTGAGTTTAGGGAGATGGCACATCAGTTTGAAAATAAAGCAGCATCTTTGTAAGTATAAACTATCAAGGCCTGCTAAGTCTAAGTTCATGATAACTGATAATAACATACACAGTACGCAGAAGAAAGCAATTTGATAGTTGACCTGCTTGTCCAGCAGACTGAAGTTGAATTTCCTTCCCTGTTAAAACTTCTCCATAAAGACTTTCCAGCTAAAGGAGTTACACACAGTGATACTTAAAATTTAAGTGAGAAGCTGTTGCTTCATATGGGCATACCTGGGCACAGTGCATGGAGGGAGTCAAACAGCCTAAGTGGGGTTCTAAACAGCCAGTTGGGAGGAGCCTGAACTACTCAAGACCCAAGTCAGGTATGGATTTGAGGTTTTCATCTCAGCTCTCTGCAGGAGACAAATGCTGAATCTTTCTCTCCCAAGGATCAAACAGTTGATCTTTTTTCCTTAGGATCCTTTCAGTAGGAGGATTACGGGATCTTCATGTTTCATAGGCTTCTTCAAGTGAGGTGGGAAGCCTAAGCTTATCTCCTGTCTCAGCCCAGAGGGAAACAAACCCACAATGAAAATTGTCGGCACATTTTTACAACATGGTCAAACCAGAATGTTCTTAACACAGAAGCAACTATTCGTTGTTATGAACCCGAGGTATTTGGTTTCTAGCAAGATCTACCTTTTATTCCAGACTCTGGGCACCAGAAATGTGGTAGTTTATTAACTGATGAGTTTAAAAGATAAAGGAAATTTGGTTTAGCATCCAAATTGCCCAGTATGCAAAATTTGTTGTGATGCCTTTCTCAAATCTCTGTTGTTCAGCTAGTAGTTAGTGACCTCAGAGCATAAATCAGTGGGTGATATTCTACAGCCTGTGTGATGCTGAGGTCTAAACCCACATGATGTTACTTGTAAGGAGAACTTGGGGAGATTTTTGTTTGCATACACAGTGTTTTTCAATTGTTTTCACATTGGCTTAAACTCTTATTGAGGTATTTTATTTTAGATTGTATCCAGGCATCCTCTGCTGACCTCCTATGCTGGTCAAAGACAACTGTGTCTGGTGATCTGTCAGTGAAGCACCTCCTATGAGCTCTTTTGCATGCAGAAGACAAATGCCAGTCAGCCAGCTCCAGCCTGGCTGACCTAATTGATTTTTTCTGTGATAACGGGGAGTCTTGTCCCATTCCTTCTCCTTCCCCCAGCCAGAGTCAGGCAGAAGTTATTAACTCAGGTTAAGGTGTTATCAGCTGCACCAATCTGTTTGGCCTCTCTACTGGGTATTAATTACCACAAGCAGAGTCAGGAAAAATCAGTATTTGTTTATACCTCTGCTGCCCTCATGCACAGCCCAACTTCTGTAACTATGTGGGAACTTGGGCACATGCCACATTTTTGTCTGCTGCAGCCAACACTTGTACCTCTTGACCCAAAAAGTGCACTGGTGTATATACTGAGCAATTGAGGTCAATGCTTCTGTATGTGACTGAGTTCTGCATTGCTGCTAGATTAAAAATCACATCAGTTAAGTTGAGCACTAATTTAAAGTAGATCTGCGAAACAGCAGAAAGACAAAACTTACATGATTCTTTCTCCATCTCCTTCTCCCCCTTTCTCTTTGCAGGAAACTGGATTCAAACTTTGATGTTTCACCCAAGCAATGAAAATTTCTTGTATAGAGCACTGGTTTTTAGGAAGGCTTCTGTACACAGAGTGTGTTGCTCTCTTTGTTGACTTCCATCTATAATCTAAAAACCACAAGAGTTCAAGCAGTATGCTCGAGTAATTAGGCTCTCACAGCAACAGGTGAAAAGAGCTGTATTTGAATTATGATCGAACAAGAATTATAGAACCATAGAATATCCTTAGTTGGAAGGGACCCACAAGGACCATCACAGCCCAACTCCTCCACAGACCCCAAGAATCACACCATGTGCCTGAGTATTGTCCAAAGGCTTCATGAAGTCTGGCAGGCTTCGTGCTGTGACCACTTCCCTGGGGAGCCTGTTCCAGTGCCCCACTGAAGAATAACAGAATATAGGAAATACACAAAGAATTCATAGATAACTATAGTATAAAATTTAGCTTATATATAATGGCTCAGCAAGAAGACAAATACTAATATTCAAAACTGAAGTTTCACCTTGAAGATCATTAACAGGAGAACAGCCTAATGGCAGAAAAATTGAATGTAACTTCAGCTGAGTGACCAAACCTCAGAGGGGTGAAGAGTGCTAGGCACGAGTGCTGTAGCGTAGACTCTAGCCCAATGAAAGAGAGAGGGACGTATCTGCAAGCAAAACACTTCTTTTACTAATTCAGAACGTATTAGTTAGGGCAAATTATTACCAACACTATTTTTACCAAGTATTTCTAATTGTTATCAAGAGTAACACACATAAAACTAGCACTGAAGTTTTGATTCTATATTAAGAACTCTGAATATCTACTGACTTTAATCATCCGGCTTTATGACTTCTGCTTCTTGGAAAGCCCCAGCTTACTTCTCACTTCTGAATATTTTCACCTCTGATGCTTTCAGGTTGTTGCATTTCTTATTAGCGTGAACAAAGACAAGCTGGACCTGTGTAATTTTTTTTCATTTTCACTAGTGCTAAGAAAGCTGCTATGTATAATAGTACCCCAATCTATTTTGCTGCATCTTCTACTGTTTAATATATGAAGTTTCCTTAGAGGAGCCCATGTTAAATGATCAATCTGCTTAGGGGCAAATGAATTGCTGAGGTAATAATTTCTTTCATCATCCCAGCTAGATCTTGACATTTGCACCAGTTGGGAAGGATTTTTACCTGATCTGATTAGCATGGGGCATTACTGCTAGTGCAAACAAGTTCTCTGGCTTAATGCAAGAGTAAAACAAATGAAAAAGCTATAATTTAGGAGGAAGCCTTAGCATAGAAATGGATTTTACAAGGACAACAGAGGTCTACTAAGAATCCTGTAGCCATTCTTGGCATTACCTAATATGATGTCTTTGTCAGTTGTCTCTGAAACAGGGTGCTTGTACCTCAAGGAGTGTGTAAGACAAATCATTGCAGTGCAGAAGGAATACATTTTTGTACCATTAGCAAATAAAATTAAAATACGAGTTTTTAAAATAGTGTTTATTTTATCTCATCCTCTTTAATTTCTATTTTTTGTAAGTTTTATAATGTACATAATATATTAGCTCAATAGTACACTGGTATAACTTTTTTATAAATAAACATACGTATGTTGAGGGATTGTGCTCAAAAATTTTTTACTTAGGGTGCATGATCAAAGAAATTTGGAGACCTGTGTGATATTGGAGCCATCTTCCACTGGACATCTGTCTGATCAGCTGAAGAGTATGAGTCTCGGTGCAGTTTAGGACTCATCATGTGGCTAACCTCAAGTAGCACTTTTGAGACAGGTTACCTATTTTTTCCACTATGGAAAATTACTCTTATGGGTGAATGACAGTGACAGATCAGGCTGCTAATATGTAGACAACATATTGCCTCCCTCAAACTTATATTCATCTTCTACTTGGATAGCACTTAGTATTTTAAAAAATTCTTTGCAACTTCCCCTTCAGTAAAGAGAAGGTGGGTATACATTGGAATTTCAGCATTGCAAACCATGTGTCAATTCTGGAAAAATACCTCTGTTGGTAACTCCAGCATTTGTGATGTAAGGTGAGTGAAAAGCTGTACAACGCTCCATGAGTAGTGGGTTCATCATGCAAAAAAGAGTTTTTGAATTGGGGAAAAATATATATCCTTTTAGGAAATATTCTAAAATAGCTTTGTCAGTGATTAAAAGAAATGAAAAGAGGAAGTAGGTGCAGCAGTTTAACATGTTTGTATTGGCATCCTACTGCAGAAATGCATTCAGTGAGAAAAGACTGAAGAAATCCAAATGTGTGTTAAAAAATCAGGTAAGAAAATAATTTATTTATTTAGTATTTATAAAGTCCTTAGGAGCAGAAGTAACTCTTTCTACAGTCTGTTTGACTGACAGGAGCATTTGATTCATGGTAGTATTTGATCAGTCTTTGTAGTTTGAAAAGACTGAGTTTGTTTAGCCTTAAAGAAGAAAAATGTTTGGAGGGCTTATGTAGGAGGGAGCTCATTCTCTGGGTTCAGGGTGGGTAAGACAGGAGTCTTCAGGCTCCAGACTGAGTAAAGAAGAGTCATATCTGGAAGATTTTTTTCTTTTTTCTTGTTTATAGCTGGCACTTCAACAAATGCCTAAAAAAATTATACTCTGTATCATTCTTTCTAAGAAGATGTTAGATATACATTTAATGTTAGAAATTTGACTGATTCTGCCATAGGGAAAGGATATGAACAAATAAGACTCCATTCAGCCCTATTTTTTTTTTGTGAAACTGTGGCTGCTATTTCTTCCATTGTTTTTTGAGGTATACAAGGCTAAATCTGGGTTTTGGTCTATCAGTGAAACAAATTTCAGAACAGTAAACCTCCCAGACAAATATTTAATTTATAAATTGCCCAAAGTCCCATGGATTATAAGTGATGTGCTTTTATATTGCTATATTGATCTTATAATTATGTAAAACTGTGCTGAACTGAGTACTGTAACAAGCCACATTTTCTTGAAAATGTCTGTATGGAATTTAGGCTTGACAATGGTTAAAAAAAGGTGTGAAATATTTCACTGTTTAAGGCAACAGCCCTTTTCTGAAGATAGTATTTCAGTGTTAAAACTACCAATCTAGTTAATTTATATAGCTAACTGAGCTCTTGCTCAGTTTTCTAATTAATTCCACTTGTGTTTTATACAGTACTTCACATACATATATCCATCTCAGGAAAAGGCTGAAGTGTTCAGATCCTCTTTTGTAATTTAAGAGCCCAAGTCAGATTTTGCCTTCTGAAGTCACTTAGGCTTCATAAAGAAACATTTTCCTCAGCATCTCTTTCCAAAGATCTGCTAGTGTGAAAAGTGAGCAAGGTGCTCACAACAGTAGAAGTGAGTAGGACGAGGACTGTGTGACAGCAAAACCAAAAAGTCAGATAGCTGTTCTGTTTATTTTGCTTGTGCTTAGTGGGTTTGCTGCAGGGAGAAGGGGCTGTTCTTGTCCATCCACGTGCATATGCATTCAACAAGCTGCAGAGAGGGGAAGTGAAACTGGGGTGGTGAGAGAGAGGGAAGGTGGGTGGGTTGTGGATGCTGTAGAAACAGTGGAGTAGAGGGAAGGGATGTGTACTGGTGTTGACACATCATGGCCATCTGGTTAATGTGGGGGGAAAATGGACTTTTCTGTGGAAAGCTTTCACTGTTCTGGACAGACATCTGTGACTTTAGACATTGTGAAGAAGCATCTGCACATTTGTGCAAAGCTGGTGAAGTCATTATTGAATTCATATTCACTGCATTCAAGAACTTATGAATACTTAGGTTGACAATATACAGACCTTTTCAAGTATTTCAGACAAAGAAATCAATTATAACTAGGCAAAAGGTTCTTTCCACAGAGAAAGTCTAGTACAGAAGTGATGTTTTTGTAGCTGTTTTTCTTGTGGAACAGTTAGTGTGAAAAGGCCTGGGTTTTGCCTTCACTGTTTTCCTAACAGGGCAATTGCTTGACAGGTTAGGATAAACCCCAGGGAGCCACTGAAAAAGTCCAATGGTTTTCACTGCTTTTTTGAGAAGAATAACATTTTATGTAAGGAAATTGATGTCATCTGAAAAAAATTCCCATTAAAGGATTAAAGCAGAGCCTGAAGTTTTATACATTTTCTTCTCCACTTCTGTTTGATATGATGCCATAGCCAGGGAGTTCATGTCATAGCCTGATACTTGTACCTCTGCTGAAATGTTAAGTCCTAATGAGAAGTGTCCAAAACACTTCCTTTTCCATTCAGCTGTGCTCTTTGGATCAAGTGCTTGTATCTTCACACATACACAGAGTAGCTGTATTCCAATTTTTCTTTTCTCAGATTTGTGCCCTGCCTTTAATTTAGAAAATTACTGGAACCTGTAAAACCAGGTATACACACAAATGTCAGTATCTGAGAAGTGAGCAAGAGAGTGCCCTTTCTGCTTTCACTGTCCCATAAGGATGTCACAGGGGCTGTGAGGGTGGGCTGCCCCACCAGGACCAAGCCAGAAGCCAAGAGTAGGCATGAGGTTGGTGGGACTATGCCCTCCCTTACCGGGGTCAATGCATCAGCACCTAGCAAGGGAGACAGGGTTGGTGATCATGGCTAGCCCAGAGCCCTGCAACCATCTGGCAAAGCCGCAGTGATGGGGCAGGTGCAGATCCAGTGGGTGCAGTAGACGATAGTCAGCAGGTACAGACTGGGCACAGACTGTGGTGTAGCTCAGGCAAGGGCCACAGGTGAGGACCTGGTCACAGATGCAGTTCCCAAGAAAATGGGTCACATAAAGCTACCCCAGTGATACTCTTGGCTCTTTCTGCCCTGGCTCTTTCAAAGCCATGCGAACTAAGCCGGGCTGCAGAGCCAGGAGCAGCACTTGGAGTCTGGGAGAATGGCGGCTCAGGAGCAGAGCAGGACTGATTTTTTCCTGTGAGTGTCACTGAGAAATGCTGTTGTTTTCCCTAAAGTGTTTTCTTGGAAGCATATTGCATTATCAGCAAAGCCTCTGGGTTCCAAATGGGGCTCTTGGGGTCCTGGAGCAGGGGGCCAGCAGTGTCAAAAAGCTTTAGGGTCTATCAGGGGCCAGTGTGACCATGGCCTGTGAAGACTGTACTGGGAGTGGAGGCTTCAAGGTATTAGTCTGTACAGCAGGCAATGAGCATACTCAGTGGCTCAATAAAAGTCTTGAGGGTTTGCTAGACCAAATAAACATGAAACTTTTAGAAACATCAACCTCCTGGAACAAGAGCAGCACCAAGATATGTTTCATCTGCGGAAACTTCATAATTTCTTGAAATTTTTGGCTTATGAGAAATTAAGAAAAAAAAATATCTGTGTGTGTATGGTTTTGTTCTGACTCAGACAAAACCCAAATTTTAACAGTGCCTGAACTTCCCAGAAACCTCAGAACTCTTTCTCATCATCTCTGGAATGAGGCTCGCTCTGCCACCCATCATTTTTTTCCTTAGAACAAAAAAAGTCAATTTCTACACAAGTCCTTTTTAGGAAGCACATTGTTCTTTTGTGGCTGTGGCTGAACTTTTCAGAACAAAACGTAAAAAAAAAAGACTTCCATAGTAGAGAAGAGAGAGTAGTCTAAAGCTGTAATGAGGCAGCATAGATGGGAGCAGGTAAAAGACTTGAATGTTGAGAACAACTCCCTTATTTGTATTTACTTCATACAGCTACAAAGATAATGACTTCTTGCATTGTGGTATGGACTTCCTGCTCTCAGGAGAGGATAAAGGGAGACCGTTTTAAAATATCTCTGTCTCCAGACAGTGGTTAGACCAAGAGCATGGGCAGGCATTGATCTCCTCTCTGTGTTGAACAGTGACAGGACCCAAGGGAATGGCCTGAAGTTGTCACAGGGAAGGTTGGATGTGAGAAAAAGGTTCTTCACCCTCAGAGGATGGTTGGGCACTGGAACAGGTTCCTCAGGGAAGTAGTCACAGCACCAAGCCTGACAGGTTCAAGAAGCATTTAGACAATGCTCTCAAGCAGAGTGTGTGACTCTAGGAGATGGTCCTGTACAGGGCTAAGGGTTGGACTCGATTATCCTTGTGCGTCCCTTCCAACTCAGGATATTCTGTGATTCTGTAATAATGAAATGTTAGTTGATAACAGTGGGGCTTATTTGTATTTCTATACAAAGTTTCAATGTGCTACTTGATTCTTCAGTGGACAAAAATATTGCTGACATGAACATGCAAATGAGTTTCATATCACTTGTTTTAGAAGTTAAAGTCTCTTTCCAGGCAGTGATGTAGCTCAAAGTACACACAGGTAAAAGATCTAATGTGAATAATGTAAGGCTTTTCGATTTCCCATCAGAGAAACTTTTTTCTTTTTTATTGATTTATTACTACCTCACCATACACAGGCAAGTGTAGGGATGTGATTTGGATTAAGTGGAGTAGCAGCTGCACTGACAAAACCATCTCAATAGAAAAGTCTTAATGGATTCTAGGAACTGGTCTGTATAGTCTGGCTAGCCCCCCTAAATGACTTTTACTTTGGGCAATTTCACAGAGGAAGATGGGCCCAGCCTCAAATGGGTACAACAAAGTAAAAATTAACAACATCTTGTTTCTTGTGGTATGATAAAGGGAGAAAACAGAGCTTTGTTGACAGTGTAAGTGCAGTTTCATTTATGGATTGAGACTGTGACCGAGACATGCTGTAAAATGAAAGCAAATAAATTTGGCTTTCTATGGTCTCGTGTATGTATATGCACTGGAAACTACATTTTCTGCGTACATGGTAGGAAATAAGTTCTGCCTTAAACACATTGATTGAACATTGAGCTTGTTAAATTGTGATGTGTTCTTGCTTAAAACAGCTTGAAACTTGTTCTGTGCCAGTGAAGCTGCTCAGAGATAAGGATAGCATGAAGTTTTCCCCTGTAGATTGGTAAACTGACTTGGTAGTAAATCAGCATGCAGGCTGTAATTTAGAGACAAGAGCTAGTTGTGCAGGTCAAGGATCCCATTGCTAAAACACAAAGAGGGAACAGGGAAGCAATGAATAATTTACAGTTTGGGATTTCTTTTATTCCTACCTTCTCATACAGGTGATGCAAAGTCCGTTTTTCAAAATCTGTGAAACATCTGAAAAACCCCTCCTGGTCCTTACTAGTGAGGAATGCCTAGCAAAAGGAAATACAAATGCTATTTTTTGCCTTGTGTTGTATTTGTGAGTTTAAAGTTCAGCATAAAATCAGCATAAAGCCATGGTATTAATATGAAAAGACTTATGGCACCTGGTCTGAGTCAGGACCAAAAAAGTCCCTTTCTTCAGAGGTGTTTCA